CTCGAGATAAGTTGACCATAGTAAGGTCGTAGTTCTCCCCAACTGCAGGACCTGTTAGCAGTTCTTCACACTCCAAAAGCAAGAGCCAGTGCCACCTGTGCAGTATTTACAGTCACCAGAAGCTTGTGGCTGTAAGTATATAGATGAAATTGCCCGGGCTCAGCCGTCTCCATGAGAAAATTCTATTCACCTGTGCCAGTTTTGCGCTTTTCCCCAAGCTCCCAGCTCACAGGATGACTGCAAAAACAACAAATCAACCGTCCACTTCGGATGACCGGAAGATCCATTTGGGCCACATAAATTCTTCAACTTCTAAACATCAGTGAGTCAGTTGAATTTCACGTGCTGGGGCGACTTTGGTGGTCGTTTTCAGGCCCCACAGGATTCGTCGATAGCGTCGATGTCTTTGCCCAAATCTCTACAGCTGTGCAAGGCTATACTGTATACGGTTTCAAGAACTCAAAACTGACTTCGTCGCAAGGCCAGGCTGCACCTAACCTGCGGATGGCCTGAAGTAGATGGATGGCTTAGGCCAAGACATTGCCGGACCAATTTGACGGTCTTGAGGTCTTCACTGAGAGTCTAGACGATCCTACTTTTTTCTATCAATGAATCGACTCCTTTAAGAGCAGAGTGTGATGAGTCTCACTGCTGACGTCCTCTGTCAAATCCAATCATGAGTGCGCTTTTGGAAGAGCCAACAGTGATCTTCCATTGTCTTTTCTTTGAGAATATCCGCAACAATCATAGGAGTGAATGTGTAAGAGTACTCACCATCCCATGAATCTACTTAGTGCCTGAGATATCTTGCTACACCGTAGCGCTTCGCGCATGCAGGAGGCTTGGTGTCTCAGCATCCGATTGGATCCCGATCTATCTATTTTGAAGGGCTGTTTTTCTTCCACTGAGAAGTCAGGCACACATGAGTAAGATATGCAAAGAGCCCTGGATCTGCAAAAGACCGACGTGTTGGATGGGTTCAAGCAAAATAGACCTCAATGAAAACATGAGAGCGCTTCAAACTCAGGCACAGCTTGCAGTAGTTTCACGTCCTTCCTGTACGAAGGGTTAAGATCTGGGTCCTCTAAAATTGAAACAGAGCCAGGTTGTATTCACTGCTCTCAGCAGAGTTTGGGCACATGTGATGACACGGCTTAAGCTCCGAGATGTGGCATGTGAAGAACTATTCTTTTTCCAAATATATGGCTAACATGGCCTGAGGCTTTCCATGCAGCAATCCCGACTGCACAACTGCTGGGTCTTTCTGAAATCGACCTCAAGCTGAAGGGCCCAACCTGGCGCCAGCTGGTCGTCTTGGACACTTCTTTGCTCACACCGCGTGAACCTGCAGGGGAAAGCCGCCTGACCCGTCGTGGCTCGGGTCTCCGGTTCACTCTCGGAGAGCGACAGAGAGAGAGAGAGAGAGAGATGGCCGCAACTCCTCCATATAACTCGTCCGTATAACTCATCTCCCCGAGTGGCCAAGTTGTGGACGAGTCGAAGTGACGGGTCTCGAGCTCCGCGATTTGTGTTCGAACGCTACCACAAGGCTGGGGAAAAGGCCGCGAGCCGCGACTGCCGCGACTGCTCGTGGTCGAAGTTGGACTGACTGAGTGTTGGTGTTGGAGAGGCGGTCATGGGTCACCGGCGGTAGAGCTGGATCTGCCGACTCAATCAACATCGATCCATCTGGGTTTGACCGACTTGTAGGGCTCAGTTTGGGTCAAGGCCAGCCTGTGTGACCAACATGTGACATGTGCGATTCCCTAGACCTACCATGTTGGCTTCTTGGCTTTGGCAGATCTTACAGTATTTCTCTTGGACTGTTCCAATACAGTTACATTTGTTGGGAAGGAAAGCTGTGTTTCACAACTGGAGATTAGTCTTTCACATCAGGAACAATTCGTGTCACGAACAGAGAGCTGCTCATCATACTTGTGCAAAAGATGGTGTTCACTGTTCACCAGGGCTCTGGCTCCTCCCGTGCCACCAAGACAACTTTCAGCCTTTACGTGTTGTGTGCTCAACCAAGGGCGTGGGAGACCGACCAACGACAGAACCCCCGGCCAGATCACTGGGAAGATGTTCAAGGAGAAAACGAACAGGAAAAGCACCTTTCTGGAAGGCGAGCTGGGAAAGTTGCATGGAAGAGACTGGGAGAAGTGCTGAAGTGCTGAAGGCATTCGGCTATAACTTCATACATCTCATCGACAGAAACGCCCGGTCTGACTAAAAGCAAGGACGACCTCGTCTTGGGTTCGCTAAAAGTAGTTTCTCATGTGCGTGTCATGTTTCTATTCCCTGAACCAGGAACCTGGAAACAAATCTCATAAAGGATCTGAAAACTGTTTTGGTTTCAGTCTTGCTTTGGAGGATGAAAAAACAACATCACAAAACTTGCTGGTGGCTTGGCGCTGTACTCCCAGCAACGTTTCGACGTAGTGATGGTCGAAGACATTCAGTGAACGGGTTTGTTCTCACAAGCTTCCCAGGCTTTGAAAGTAGTTTCTAGTGCAGGCTACTTCTGCTTGCGTATATTCGACGCGAGGAAGCACTGCAAACCACTACACTCGTTGGCTTTTCCAGTTCTTCAGCTACCGCGGCAGTTGATCTGTGTTCATGAGTGTAATTGGCAGGGCAGTCTTCCTAAAGGCGGTGATCAATCGATCTTGGCCACCATAGCGTGTGACAATCACGAGATGAGGGGGATCCGCCACCATGGATCCTGCTTCATGACAAACACTTAAGTGGACGAAGGCTATATAAGACTAGATTGACAATCCTTTTATTGTAAATGGCTGTCAAGGCTTTTGGAACAGATGTTAACTTACCCTGCTTTTAATATCCGGCCTTCCCTTCAGCTTTGCGGCCTTTCAGGACTGGGTCATTTTGGAGGAGCTGCGAGCATCTGAACGTCTTACTGGGAGGATGAACGGACTCCGAAAGCACCCGAGTGCAGCCTTCAGCTGCTGACATCACATCCAAAGATGTGCGCGATTTTGGAAGAGCGGACAGTCTTTCGGTGCCTTTTTGCTCGAAGCCATGCGCAACTATAAGAGCAGATGTGTAAGAGTACCGAACATTCCACACCCAAAACACCTTACCGTAAGCGGTCGTTATTCATCTGTCTATGGGGACCAGTCGGTCACCGGGTCTCGTTGTATTTGGCACTTGAGCTGCCTTTTTTGGCTCAATAGGTCGTCTCAATCCTTTTAACGGTGTCTTTTTTTCCGTGAGACTGCAGCTGCTTACTGAGTACATCTGAGTACTGAGCACCACTGTGGTCATCCAATCCACTGCGGTCATCCGCTGCGTCGACGACCGCAGCTGTTCCTGTAGGAGTGACCCAAACTTTAGCCATGCGACTGTCCCTGAGGGTCACACATGGCCCTCGGTCCCTGGTGTCATGAGGGTCACGTCATCTCCCTGGTGGGATTGTTTGAACGGATGTGCAGCACCTGAGAAACGTCTTGCTTCCTTTGGGGTCTCTCCTTTTGGTTCCTCCGGAGCTCCAACTGGGTCTTCGAAACGGAGGTCTGAACTGGGTCGGAGGTGAGAGTCAACCCCAAGGATTTGCAGTGCTGTTGCAGCCTGCAATGAGACTGACTCGCCCAAAGGTTGAGTCTGAAAGATGTAAGTGATGGTCGCCTGGCTGTGGATCCCTTATCTTCCTGAGTGCATCTCCAGGTCGCATGGGTAAGGTGGCACAGGCTCTTTCAATCCCATACACCTTCATGCCTATCCTGCTCTTCTCTTCTCTAGGTGTTCACCATCACAAACTGAGCCAAGCTGGGGAGCTCTATTTCGTGAGCTCAGAAGGGTTCCCCTTGCAACCTCAGAATCACAGCTCCGCGATGTCGCTCTTGATGTTCATCCAAAGAGGGGGCAGCGGTGATAGAACCGGCAGGACTGACCGGTCCGCTGCTTCGAGATCCAGAAGAATCCATGAACAAGAATCGCTACTAGGAGCAAAGGGCATCGCTACTAGGAGCAAGGGCCTTACTAGTAGTAACAAGAAGCCATTAGAAACAATAAGTAAATAGACTTTAATATACTTTAGACTTTAAACGAATCGCTCACGAATTCCACAACCATCTTATACCAGAGGCGGGGCGACTGCAAAAACGCGGCGCCCGAATACCTTTTCGACTGCGTGGGACCTGAAAACAGGTTGAGCCGGGACTGCGTCGTTCTTTGGGGCGCCCTTCTTCGGTGCGCCAAGGGTTTCCAAGGGTTTCTTGAGGTGATTCCGGGTGTAGACCTAGAAATCGATAGAAATCTGCTCATAATGATGGCAGAGATTCGTAGAGGGCAGATAATATTGATCTATACCTGGATCTTCAAACGGCACAATTTTTTGCGGAGGCATTCTTCAGTGAAAAGACGCCGTAATAAATAAACATTGCCGTTTTGGGGGTTGCTAACATGTGCTCAAAATCCATGGACTGGGAGAGACGCCGTTTGGACGCCTAAAGACGGCCGTTTGGACGCCTAAAGACACCCTTTGGCAGCCTAAAAACGCCGTTTCTTTTTGGCTTCTGCTGCTTTCCGCCTGGTTTTGAACGAGACGCCGTAACTGCATTTTTTCTGGAAAAGGCAATGATTTGTGCCGTTTCGGAGATCCAGGTATAATTAAGCGTTTTCATATGAATCCCAAAGTGGTGGGGATTTTGGATTGATCTGAGGATTGATGCGAGTCCAATATTTTTCCAAGCTTTGCTTAGGCTTGGAGGCCTCGCGGATTCTCAGGGCGTAGGGCTGCTGGTGACATCAGGCTCAAATAAATCTATAAGGCCGCTTCTGCTTATCTCAGATTCAGCTACTGGGTCTACTTCAGAGGTACTGTAAGTTCTGCCAGTATTCAGTAATCAGTCCTTGATTGAACTCTGGATGAACAGTCAACGCAGGTGATAGTGCCACTCGTTATAGACCAGAACACTTCGAGCCTGGTCTTCATCATCCGCGCCTGACAGATTTGGCGATTTGTTTCGGCGCCATGGATGGTCAAATGTGCCATGGCGGAGGCAGGGTTTTGGGGAAGTCGTTAATGTGCAGTCGACCCGAGCAGAAGAAACCGGTCGACTTTGTGAAGGGGTGGGGTGAGATCTAAGGGATGTATTTGAAGTTAATCCTCACGAACTCTTTCAGACCTGCTCGTACCGTTGAACCTCCGTTGAACCTCCGTTGAACCTCCGTTGAACCCATGCTGCCGACTGAGTTATAAGGCTGTCAAAGTCACACATCCCGAACCTTGGTATATCATATATCATGGTCAGATTTTCTATAGACTCATCCAGTTCGTTGACATGACCCCCCCCAACTTGGTATGTCGGAAGTGACAAACCTCCAATGTACTGTACATACCGTATAACCTCCAGCACGTGTACAAGCCGCATAAAACAACCTTCAAACTACTACTGTACTACTGTGACAAACCTCAAAATCTGTCTTTTTGTTCTCTCTCCTCTGTGCACCGCGACAGCCGCTACCGCGACACGACACCAGGCCTCGGTGCGGGCCGACACCGCGCGCTCGGCGTTGGAGCGGCTCCGGGCGCAGCACGTGCGGGTGGATCTGTGCCCCGCCGGGACCGGGTTCCGGATCGGGTGGGTGCGAGGAAGGGTGCGATCGGTGCGGCGGAGGCATGACACATGAACTAGGGAGAAATCTTGGAGCAGTTTCCTTTCTTTTTTTTTTTTCGAAGGTGTGTGTTTCTGGAGAGTCTTGTACGCTGATACACACCATGTCAGGAAGGGTGGTGTGGTTTTTTTTGGTGGAGAGGAGAACAGTCGAGTGAACACCAGTTGATTACGAGAGTAGAAAGAATGAAGGGTGTTTCAGTTTCAGTGATGATCATCTTTCTTGGTGAGTATTTTAAAAGTCTGCGCAGTTTGCGCACTCTTGTTTTGGATGAGCCAGCGGCAACAGATGTGATCATGGCTTTTCAGGAATTGACCTTGTCTATTGACCCCCCCAAACCTCCGCAAGCCACAGGTTTTGGGTCATCGGCTCAAAGAATCGTGGGAATAGGACAAGTAGATGAACTACTTCTCTGCCGGGGTGGCTTTGGAAGGTTTTCTTTAACGACCCAGAGCCGAAGAAAGTTCAGTGCAGACCCTGCCCAAGCCCTCAGATGGTGTGGAAGGAGCGTTTCATTATTTCAATGTGTCATTTTCTATACTTTTCCAACATACTACACGCAAGCCTGGAAGCTCCCTTTTCCACACCAATGTTTGTTTGGTCGGCGGCCTACCTCAGATCAATCCAAGTATTTTCTGGATCTGATAAAGATATGCTTATGATGCATTCAACAAGGCAAGCACGTTTAGCACTGCAACATCATGTCAATAAACCTTGCCCTTTGCTTGAAACGTGTGAATCTTCCACCTGTAGTAGGAGATTATATTTTTGTTCCTCAAACGGATATCTGTGATTGAGGGGTTCTTGCTCCATGGTTGCTGGACCAACACTTTTTGTTGTGGACGATTTCCAAGGCCAAGGCCGGGTTCACCAGGCTACGGGTGCTCGATCAGAGATCCTCAACACAGCCGAAGCTAGACTTTCCTGAGGAGGTTGTTCAGATGATCGGGAAAGCAACCAATCATGACAATGTCCCTGAAAGAGGTCCCTGAAACAGGATTTCACACCTGAGCCAGGTCGAGCCTGCTTCAGAAGCATTTCAGCTTCGGAGAAACTGAAACGAACCTCCAAAAATATCACACACCACTTCATCCAATCCACTTCCGTTTCTTCAAGGCCCATTTCAGCCCCTTTTACGCGCTTCTTCGCCACCGGCCCTCGTGTCCCAGCCTCGCGTCCCACCCCCCGAGGTTCCACGTGTCCGGGCTTCTGCGGGGAGTGTCCTGGCGACAAGCCTTGCAACTGCGCAGCGATGCAGAAGACGAGGGGCTCCAGCCCAATGTGCGACGGCGGTTGGATGTCGGTTGGTGTTGATGCTTGGAGTTGCTGACCCTTCAGCACGCCCCAGGATTTGTCTGGATTTCGGACAAGATTGCGCCAGCGGCTAGGTCTGAACATCTCGAGTAGAGAACCCCCCAACATGGTTTGTTGCTTCATGCTGTGTGTTGATGTAAGTCAGGAAGCATTGGAGATGTTGAGAAGTCAACTGCACAGATAGTAGCAGGACAAGCGATAGGGATCGGGGAACTCACGAAGTGAGTCAGCGGTTTGGTTCAGAAGGATGTTCTCAAGGAACAAGGTAGATTTTGGGATGTCATAAACGCTATGCCCCGGTTGGCCGGGACGTTCCTCCACAGTTCCCCAAGCCTGTGGCGATTTGCTGCCCAAGAGTGTTAGTTACCAACCCGTGGGAAGTGGACATTGCTGAGATGCAGTGTCTTGACTATCATGATGACAGCCCAACTGGAAAGAAGCTGCTGGGAATGGGAGTGCCAAGCGCGCACGCATCGCCCCGGCCCTCCCGGCGCCCCCGGCGTCTTGCTCGACCACGCATCCCCCGAGGAACTCGTCGCGCTGATCGGATTCGCGGTTTGGACCAGGTGGTCTTCGACACGGCTTGCCACTTCGGTGCCTCCCCCAGCGCGTGGCCCAGGGGGCTGCGGCTCATTGGTGCACAGATGGCCGCTTGGGCTTCGGACTGCAGGGCTTTAGGGAATCCTTTTCTGCTTTTTTTTTTTTTTCATTTTTGGTGTTTACTCGACTTCAAGACTTGTGCAGAGATCCCATGCGTTTGAGGATCGAATGAGGTGGTTGATATTAATCCATTACTTGACGTGATGAACAGTCAAACTTACGAAGGTTGAACCATTTTTTTGCTGATCCAAACCTTTGTCGACAACTAACACGGGAAGCTTTGTGTTCCCTGATGCTGGGTTTGGGATGGTTTGGGGACAAGCTTCGAGCTCGCTTAGAGCCCAGTTTGGCAAACACAAGCACTGGTTGAGACTAGGGATACGCTATCAAGTGCTGTATCGTGGTGTTGGCAAGGTGTCAATCAACACCGGAAAGAAGAACACCCTGCAGTGCCCTGCAGTACAATCACTGCGCCTGTGGGCCTGTGAAGGGCCTAACCATTAATCCTTGACTTTGAAGCCACAAGCCACAAAGAGCTACTGACAGCCAACACTCACCCTGAAACACGGGCCTCCCCTTTGTCCCCCGGCCCTGCCCTTCCTTCCTTCCTTCCTTCCTTCCCTCTTGCGGGGAAGCCTTGGGTGCTTCAGGATCTGCTGGCGCTCAACAAGGCCCTCGCTGTGGCCAGTTGGACCTGCAGCCTTGCCCTGCTGTGCCTCGGCATGTTGGAAACGCAGGGGGGTTGGGAGCTTTCATTGGCTCAGTTAGGCCCTTGTGACCAGTGAACCCCCAGAAACTGGATGGGATTGGAGATGGAAAACACACATAGACACACACAGCTCATGATCCAGTAGAAACAACGCAAAGACAACATTTTTTCAAAGAACAAAAAAACCTCATGAGTTCGGCTGATATACTGTAACTGCTTCTTCATCACCTCCCATCCCCTCCGCCGCTCTCCAGGACGTGGGGTCAAACGCATCGCCTCCACGATCACATCTCCACCAACAGCGCAGCACGCGCCGTGTGCACGGGACGCCCAGCGAGGGCGAGGGGATGTTCATCTGGGAAATGAAATTCCGAAGATCTCCGTGAAGATGAAAGAACGGCTCAGTCTTCTCAAGTGGCGGTTTAATAGGTTTTTGATGGTTTTTTGGCTATGAACAAAGTGTTTGGGGATTTCAGCCAGGAGTTATGAGGCTTCACATCCGACATCCAAACGTGTCAAGAGTGGGACTGGATCTCCTGAAAGCCTGAGGTTTTCGAGGTCTTCGAATCCTCCTTGCTTCAAACCGGAGGCCTTATTTTCCAGGTGTGAGGTCCTGTGAGGTGGTGATTTTCGGGGACCTGGACTCAGGAGCCTCAAAAATCTGGATTCAAGGGCTCAGACCGGGCATTCCTTTTTGACCCATTCGATCGCGGCTGTTAGATGTTTTTCATGGCAACGCCTAAGGGAGCAGTTGACAGCACGCAGCTTGCCCAAATGATTTGGGTGCGTTGAAAAGGGAGACCTCCCCCCACCGGACCCCTTGCAAGAGGTGCGAGAACAAGTTTATTTCAACGCCTGAAACGTACCCTTCACGCATCCGCATGCCACGATCAAAAACCATCTTTCCAAGCTTTGGTTTAAACGTTATCAAAGGTGGGCCCACCCCTTAGCTGCAATTCCAAATCTGCTGTCTTTCCTATTCCATTTTCCGTCTGCAGCATTTTACTTCAGTTCTTCCACTCCGCCTCCGACTCCCAATCGCGGAACGATGCTCATAAGGATGGATGCTTGTTCCGCCACATGTCTCAGGCTCCGCCCGGGGTTTCCCCAGCCTCAAAACAGTGTTGAGCTGCTGGAAGAAGAAGAAGTTAAAGTGAGACAAACTTGAACCAGCTCAGTTAGAAGCTAAAGTGAGTCAGAAGTTCGCTGCAGGTGAGCATAGCATAGACTGAAGTGCTTTGACTCGGCGAACTTGACCCGCTCAGCTACGGCTTTGACCGGTTCAATTCTGAACGCCCTCCGGTTCAAAGCTGCTCGTCCAGTGCTTTCGCTCGGTGTTTCTCGCCAAGGGTGATGGATTCGCTAGCGAAAAGAAACCGTGTCTTCAACAAAAGTTACTCCCATCTGAACAAGACACCTGGAAAACAAATCTCAGAGAGGACGCGACAACTATTTTAGGTTTGCTTTGGAGGTCCCAAGAGAAGCTCCATTGCTTTGGTTCGGCTTTTGATACACTCACCTACGCTCGGTCGGCTTGGAAACTGACCGCGCTCCGACGAGCTGGTCAATTGCTTTCACTCTGTGTTTCCCGCCAAGAGGGATGATTTGCTGAGGTAAGAAGCTGTCAGAAACCGTGTCTTCAACAGTAAATTATTTCCATCTGAACAAGACACATGGAAAGCAAATCTCAGACAGGACGTGACAGCTCTTTTGAGCTTACTTTGGAGATTCCAAGAGAATCTCAAGTTCTT